TGCCAGGAGGAGCCGGGGATCAAACCAACAACCTTCCGATTGGGGGACGACCCGCTCTACCTCTGAGCCACAGCCGCCCCTAGCATAGCATAACTACATAACATACAAAAAGGATTATAGATTTTTATTAGGGATGTCCTCACCAAGTTATTTCATATTGAGTATCTGCTGATACCAACTCTCAATCCTGTAATACAGATGCAGGGTACACACTTCAAGTACATTAAAGTCCAATGTATATGCTTCACAATTTAATAGAGAAGAATTGCCTGCATTGCTGAACTTTTTTTTTTTTTTTCCAAAATAAGAACGATCTGTGATCGTTTTGGTCTTGTCGCTGTCTGGAGGGAGTTTCTCTTCAGTGTTTGTTAAACAAATGTTCAGATTTTGTGTGGATTACAGTGGCTTTTTGTCCCTACACACAGAGAGTTGACTCTTAAACCCACCCTGTATATATGCATTACATTAATGCACTCCCGTTGTTTTTTCTATCCTGCACATTGTAAATATGCTGTACAGTTTGGATCTTTCTATCTTCATCCATATCTTTATTATGCACCAACACACCAAGAAAAATTCCTTGTACGTGTAACAACTTACTGTACTTGGCAATAATTCCAATTCTGATTCTGATTCTGCAGTCATTGCGCAGATCGATAAAGTTCGATACAGCCGATACTAATCAGTAAAAAAATGCCTTGATCGGGAAATTAATAATTTGTATTATTAAAATAACAAATATAGATGACTGTGAAGGAGTTCTGACTTATTTCTAGTTTGAGACAAAATGTTTTTGGACATCTGGACATATGAATATCTCTGATTTACTGACACAGCCAATGGAGCTCCCCCTGCTGGCCTTTACATAGAATGCAGGTTTAAGACACTTCTGCGTTAGATTCACTTCAGACCTGTAAATTCATTACATATACTGTCAATGGTTGAGCCTCCTGCAGCATCACTCTCTATAAATGTTAGTGATTTATATGTACCATCATGGATTAGGCCAAAGTAATATGACAGAATACAGATGCTATATATTATGTGGAAGAAGTTCAAAGTTGTTTGAACTGTTGAAAATCCAATCAATCATATTAGTTTTCTACTTTCAAAAACCCAAACTGCACCTACTCTTGAAAGCCTAAAGAAAGCCACTGGTCATTTATTTACCCATTAACTAGTGGTGGGCAATACGGCAAGATTTGGTATCGATCCGATACCGATCCAATACCAGTCAGTATCGCCGATACCGATACCGATACTTACGGCAGTCTTCTCCCTCTCCGCTGCTCTGTAATAAAATAAAACGTTTCAATGGGATAAATGTATTATTTCAAGGTCTTAGCCTACTTTATACTTGATTGAGTTGGCTATAGTAACAAATGACCAGTTGCACTTAAAAATATATATTAACTAATGCCGAAGATGACCAAAATATTACTTTCACCACTATTATCTACCTGGATATTCTCT